TTAATGGTAACTATGAAGAATGTGGTTGGATATTAGCGCCTCAAGGCATGTGTATGACAAAAGATCTAAGCTCAATCATACATTGAGGTGTATTAAAGGGGAAAGTATTGTTGGGCAAGACCCTCACCACTATTGTTGATGGTTCTGAGAAAATGGAAGAGAACCCTACCTCTAGAAAGTCATTGACTTTCTTAGACGTAAGGAATGGTTAAGTAGATAAGATAAATTCTTCCAAGTGTGTCGGTGTGAAGAATTAGAATATCTTATATCGCATTCCCATATTATTACTGGATGCTTAAGAAAAATATGAATTTTGTATATCCAAGCTAAATGACCCATAAATATGTGGTTAGAGAATCAGAATCAATAGATCTGATTTATGTTGATATGGGTAAACTTGATGGAAAAGAAAATAAATAATTTATTGCTTTTTAGAGTGCTCTGATTGTCTGACTAGTTATTCTAAATGGTTTGAAATGCCTAATTGCATTATGATTGCACTGATTATTCGATATGTGGCATGCATGTGGTAGCGTTAGAGAATCAGTGTAGCATGATAACTAGAAGAGCATATGAGTGTGTTTTATGTTGTCAACAATAAAAACACATAGTTCCTATGAAACGAAATACTCATGTTGTTGTGAAATCCATTGATGCCAATGAACTCCCATTTTAAATCAAGAAATAGTGGGGGTAGTGTCCTGCCTACTATTAGAAATAATGGATCTAGTAAGGGTGATTAATTTGAGTATGAATTCACAAGAGACAAATGAACCATAAATCACTAAAGGATTTTGGTTATGAATTTGTTATTACACCCTAAGAAAGATCCCACGAGTCTGCTTGAAGTTTGAACTTCCATAAATATGCAGATTCGTGGGAAAATCCATTATTAACGAAATGGAATTTGTGGAGTCTAGTAAGACTTAGAATCTTGTAGAGTTTCCTCTTGGTTATAAAGCCTTGGGTAATATATCGGTGGAACCAAACAAGATTTGGCATCTTTGAGAATTACCTCCTGGCAATGAAGCCAAGGTAATAAATGGATTCCTAAAAGGAAAACTGAAACCTGATGGCCTAGTAGCTAAGGCTTTAGGTGAAGAGGAAAAATTGTAGATTTTTTTTTATCTCTATTCCCCAATATGTAGAATAACATCCATCACATGGATGTTAAAATACTTTTTTAAATGGTGATTTGAATAAACAAATCTACATTGGGACAATCTTAAAGGTTGTTATTCTAAAACATGCTTCTGAAGTCTATGGTTAGACAAATCATTATATGATTTGAAATAGACTTAGAATTAGTGTCATGAATAATCAGATTCACTCTCATGGTTTTAAAAGTGAAAGTGACAACTGACAAGTGCATTTAGTACAAATTGGAGAATGACACTTGCATTATGAATGACACGTCGATCTTTGGTACAAAGACTCGTGATGTCAATATTGAAAAACTATGATGGTTGAGAATTTTGAATGTAAAGGATCTGAATGAAACAAATGTTATGCTTAGAGATCCTAATAACTAGGAAAATACAAGAAGTACACCTGCATACATGTTTGATGATGCTCGTATAAATATTTAAAGAACACCTAAGACGATCTAAGAAAGTTAGAATATACTAGCATTTACAGTCTGCGAGAGACACTGATAAACACGAGACCCTATTTAGTGGGGGTACTTGGCAGGCTTACTGATTGTCCTAGTATGAAGCATTGAAATGCTATTGGAAGGGGTCATGATACACCTTAAGAGAACAGTAGACCTTGATATAAGTTATCAACGGTTTAGTACTCTATTGGTAAGGTATATTGATGCAGACGAGAATACCCTATAGAAGACTCTAAGGCATCCAGTGGACATGTTTTAAACATCACTGGAAGAGTTGTGTCTTGGAATTCTAAGAAGTAAAAGATCCTGACTCAATCAACTAAGAAATCAGAAATGATAGAGCTAGCAATGGCTAGTAAAGTGAAAAGTTGATTGAGAGGGTCATTACTAGAGATTCCCTTATGGGAAAGACCGATCCCTCCGGTAATTAATTCATTGTGATAGCACCGCAACTATTATTAAAGAAGGAAACCGGTTCGAGAACGAAAAGAGACGAGAAAGTCGTCGTAAGCACAATACTGTAAGAGAACTCCTAATGATAGGAGCAATGAGGGTGGATCATGTAAGATCCGAACAAAATCTAGTTGATCCTTTGACGAAAGGATTATCTAGAGAGAAAAGTCCAAAATACCACAAAGGTATGAGACTTATGTCTACCGAACCATGGATTACAAGTGATGGTAACCCGACCCGATAGACTGGAGATCCCAAGAAACGGGTTCAATGGGTAATAACAAGTCATGAGTAATATTAAGAAAAGTTCATGCATATTGAAGCATGAATCCCAAAGCCTTGGAGGTTGAGTTAAACTCTTAATGAGATCTATACTCTATGTGGAGTGAAATACTTTACTTTGGGGGTACTTCTGATAGACTCACCTATGTGAATGTGGGAGTGGGGCCGCTCCCAATAGAACTTTGGAGGCACAAAGTTGCTAGAGCGTTCACTAAACCGGGATAAAGTGCATGGCCATAAACACACGGCCTATGAGAGAATATCTCTCAATGAAAAGATCCGGTGTGCTACATTGCCTGAGATAGGGTTCAAGACTACGAGTCAGCCTTATGAAATCGGAAGTGTAACCACAACGCTAAGGTTCAAATCTTCGCGATACATTAGCTTATGCTCGACCTTATGGAACTGTTGATGCTCAAGATAGTTTCAAAACTATTCAAGTGGGGGATTGTTGGGATAAATAGCTTTGAAAAGCTATAAATAAAATTCCTAATTAATTATCCAGTATTTTCCCATGATACAAAAATAAGATGGATAATTAATAAAAGGAATATTATGGAGATAATTAGGATTCATTATCTTAATAGATTATATTTTAATTATGGGAGTAATTATCTCCCTAATTAAAATGTGACTTATTCCCAAAGAAAGAGGGAATATTCTGAGTTTTCTGCTCCTATAAATAGCAGACCCTCTAAACATATCTCAGAGAGCAGAAACACGAGAAAGAGAGTGAGTTCATAGAGCTCTGGTGTTCGCACAAAACCGCTGAGCAAATCAAAAGAGTGGTTGTTTTATCCTGGAGGCGACCGACTCATAATCTACTGTGCGAATAACGAGGCAGTGGCGCGAACGTCTTAAAGAGAGCGACCTAATCCGCGACTCAGGCAGATCGGTAACCTAATTTTTTTCTGTTGGATTTCTAACAACAAGAACATATATAAGTCAGATGGACTAAAATTTCTTGGCCATTCGTTCATAAAGTAGTACTCAACTGATGACAAAAGTGCCCAAAATGAGAATGAATGCTTAAAAAATAGCACAATAGAGTCAAAAAGCGTGTGGTCTCTGTTTCCCCTTTGTTATATCTTCCATGCTACCAGAATCAAGGACCATCCTTTTGAGACATCAAATTAAACACCGAGTCAAACAAGATTTTTGCGCAGCAAATCTGCATCCAATTTGTTCTTACCATATATGATGATCTGTGAGAGCAAGCATCTCGTACTTTCTCTGTTTTAGTTTCTCAATCATCTCTCAAAAGGCGTTCAATAACCAACTTCTTTCATTCACCAACAATTACAGGGGTTTACTTGGTTGAAGAGTTAACAAATTGAGATGCCTTAGAATGGAAATGGTCGATGGAGTTCTGACATTCCGCAAATCCAATGCTTGATGACGAAAGCCAATCTTGTTCTGAATTGACGATTTCCGGGGGAGACTGCTAGTTGATGTAATTGAAGAAGGGCCAAGTTTATCGATTGGTACACAAAGCCAATCTCTCTTAGTTTTCCCTCTTCCTAGCCTCGGTGGCTTCTAGGAGTGTCAGTTCGGGTCGGGTTCGGTTATCCGAACCGAACCCCGAAAAAACCCGAAAATCCGAAACCGAAAATCACTAAAACCGAACCCGATTAGGACTTGTGGGTTCCGGTTACCCGAAATCCAAAAATTCCTTATCGGATTCGAGTAAAGCAAAACCGAAACCCGAAAACCCAAACGCCTAAGAATACGAGATGAGTTCTATTCATTGGAGGTTTTTAGCCGGAACCCGAAAAACCGATAAGCAAAACCGAACCCGAAACCGAAAATCCAAAACCCGAAACGAACCCGAAAAACAAAAAATGTATATAATCGGGTCGGTTTCGAGTAAACCCGAATGGACACCCCTAGTGGCTTCATATTCATCCGTCGACAAGAGGGCCTTGCCTTTTGTTTTGGAGTGGGATCGTGTGGATCCGCTAGCGGTGCAACAGTTTGACGGAGATAGGACCTATGGTGATGACAGATTCATTACCGGTCGGACGGTTAGGGAGCTACGGCGAGATAGTGTGGATTCGGTGCCGGCGTATTTGGGTGGGCAACGGAAAACGTGTATTTGGGTATGCCCATACCCGTGCCGTTTTTTAAGAGTTACATAGATACATAAACTAGTGCAGAAGTATACTCCCACCATGTTCGCTTCCAAAACGGGAATAAGTGGTCCGGAGTTTCGCGCTCGATTAAAATCAACACTAACACCAAATTGTAATCTCTCTTGGATTTTACTTTCACGATCAGAATCCTTCCCCTGCGTATCAGATCCTAAGGACAGAGCAGCCACATCGCAATTCCACAAGGCAAGACCTTAATCATATTTCTAATATTTTTCTTTTAAATTACATACTTAGATAGGTCAGTCTTGGCCCGACTAGCACCCTGTAATAAATTATCCAACCTATTAAGAGGTGGGTAAGGGTATCACCTGAACTTGCTCTATTGCCACTCCTAATCCGATCGACTCCAACTAATTTAGTGACCTTCACCCTTCCACCCGATGGCTGTAGCCTGCAGGCACTCTTGATGATGATTGCAGGTCATTTCTGAACCTTGAATGCTACTGGAATATATGGTCGTTGTCTATACGTCTTACTACGTGTAACTGATAACCTCAAGTTACTATATCCATTTGTTCAAGTTACCACTCATGCTAACCTTGGCAAAAACTGACCTTACCTAGCGTATATATGTATGAGGGCCTATACCTGATAGATGGGTATTTAGGAAAATCTACAAAGGTACAGCCTTTATGAAGTACCATTATAGACAGTGAAGTCGACTTCTTCATTATTAATCGAATCCATTTGGGCAACAAAATCCTCTTAACAGATCCCCTCAGGCCTCACTATACAACCTATTTTCCCATTCTGAAATTCAGTTTCCATTTCCACTTCCTGTCGCTTCAAAATTCTCCACCCTAGACTTCACACCATCCATTGTCCGTCAAGCAATATCGATACATCGGTCTCGCCAGTACAGTAGAATGGATCAAGAGACAGGGCCTAGAAGAAGAGTGCATATTATTTACCATTAACCATCTCAGACCAGGCTTCAATCTGGCAGAGTGATCAGCCGCGATTTGGCATCGTAGATCAGTTCAGTCCCACAACTGTTGCAGAATGCGAGCAAAAGCGCAAGCATATCAGTTGAGGCAGACTTGCAGCTGTGTTGTAAGTACTAAAATGGGGTTTTTAGCTGTTTGGTGATGAGTGAGTCAAGAGAGCTTACTTGGAGCATTTGAGGTTGTTGGTAGTGCCGCCATTGGAAATGGAGAGTATGGTTCCAAAGAAAGAGACATTCTCAGTGCCACAGTTTGGGCACGGGCCCTGTCAGAGAGATATTTAGAGGATGGATGTCATTGCAATAGGATTCGGAGCGGGAGAGGAGTTTAGTATGAGATGTAGAGCAAGTTGGACATGTCATATACGCACCTTGAGGATGATAAAATCCTTGAGGATTGCGTTTGTAAGCGTTAGAGCTCCCCAGACTATGAGAGGGACCGCAGCAAACCAAGTGAAGATGAAACTGAATGGCTCCGGAAGCTGTACAGCTCACCAGAAGTTTGACGGGAAGTTAGAACCAAAACAAATATGTTTGGAAGATTATGAAAGGAACTCGAGAGAAAAAGGGAAAGTTGTTTACTTCCAGAAGGTATGTGATCTCAAAACCAGTCACATCATCCAAGAAGAAAAACCTGCAGGTAACAACAACCGGAATCACTGATGAAACCAGGTTGTTTCAGGGTGAATTTCTCCAGGTCCAGATTTCTAGCTATAAGACTGTCGCATGTACAATGTAGATTCGTGCTACAAATTTTAGTGAGTTGCTTAGCAGACTTACAAGCCAAGTGCGACAACAGTGGCCGGAACATTCAGAAGTAACATCTTGAGGTAGTCCACATTGAGGTCACTATAGACCTGCAGTAGAGATTTGAGCATATTCGCTAAGTAGTAGTAGAATTAAGGGTAGAATGGAGATGAACCAGGCGAAATGCACACCTTCCTGCTGCGAAGACTGCATCTTGGACCTTCAACTACAATGTCACTGCCTTCTGTCTGGAAACGGCACAAATAAGAACATGAGAGAACCAAAAGCAATGCTTCTTTCAGAAGATGTTAGTTGGACAATTTAGCATTATGTAGTATCATTAATAACATGGATTGATTATTAAGTACACTGATCGGCCCATTTTCAAGGGGTACCAAGAGTGCATACAATGTAACTTCACACATAATCCATCATAGTACAAACCTTCAACTTCAGTTTTAGGTCATCAAATTCTTTGTCGCTCAAAATTGGGTTCCCAGCTACATATGCCATCGAAGCTTCCAAGAACCTCTGCTCATCAGCAGCTGCAAAAATGACAAAAAAATTCAGATAAGAATAGAAGGAATTTGAGCCAAATGGTACAAAGACATCATCACAAGATGTCAGTTCACCTACATAGCATAACAACACTGCTTCCTTCCCACATCAGTTCTTCCTTGAGATTGTCGAATTCCTCGTTAGACATTATCGCTTTTCCTTCGTAGTAAAATGACTGCAAGAAAGACACATAATTTTTGTCCTCCAATTCAATGTTCATTTCTTCATTTGATGGAATCATGAAAACTAGAGAAGCAATTAGGGTGAGAAGAAATGTACCTGTAGTGCTTGAAGAAAATCCTGCTCCATTTCTCCCAATGACTTCTTGTCCTTATTTTCTATGCTGCAGTAGTTCAGAATCTTGCTGTCCACTACATCATCTTCTTGCACCTGACCTGCAAATTTGAAGAAGTTTTGATCTTTGCTCAGGAATTGCTCGGGAAGGAGAAGAATAAAAACGAGACACGAAGGCTAAACAAAAAGACCTCAAATTGAAGGACATGGAATTCTTCTAAGCAACCAGTTCTCAGGATTTGACTGACCTACTAGAGATGGCAATGAAAACTATCTTCAATTAGTTTCAGGGCAACATCAATCATCCAATCAACCCAAAAGGGAGAAAATTGTGCTAATTCCATGAATCAATATCATGACAGAGGCAATCCATAATCCTAATGACTTCCAACTCAACGAAGGACCAAATTGTGTCCATCAATGCCAGAGTGATGGCTAATATTACCACTAATCACCCTATCACTCAAGCAATCAGATGAAAACTGAGAATTACTTCAACCCAAACTGATAAAGCATCGATCTTTATCACCGCAACCAAATCAGAAGGTTCATTTGGGAGATTAACTGATATGGAATCTTTTCATGGGGAAAAAGAAAAAACCAAACCTTGCTGATCGGCAGTAGCCTTGACGGGAACCAAGAAAATCCTTCTCCGGAGGCAAGCATGTCTTCTTCCACTGATCGGCTGAACCTTGGAAGAACATGGAGAAATGAAAGGCTTGCTTATGGGAGCAGTGGAGAATCGAGGAGATGACAAACTGAAGGCCAATTTGGTAGCCATCGTTAAAACAAAAATAAAATTACTCTGCTTTAATGAAGCTGGGGGCTGGTTTAAGGATTGTGTTAATGGGGTTCATTTTGATCTTGCGTCTCATTCTTCTCGGAAAGAAAAGAAAGGTGAGGTAGAATGGAAACAAAGAGAGATACGCAAGAGGATAAGGGATGTGTGGAGGGAAATGTGAAACTGCAATTTTCAAAAAAACTACCAAAAAACAGAAAAACATCATTTTGGCCAGCTCAAGAGCTCTTTGATTGATTCTCTGCCCTAGGCCGCAGAAAAAGATCTGCCACATGGCAATTCAATATTTCTCATTCTTCATTTCTTCAACCCTGGTAAGGGTTCGTTTGGAAGTTGCGTATCTTAAATCATTGTATTGTTATGAATCATTATGATATAAATGCATGTATTGATACAATAGATGCATTTTGAAATTACATTGTTTGGTTTTTGAGATTATAATTTATGAATTGATTGTTATAAAGTTACTTTATAAAGAATGTCATATTTGTCCTCCACTTTTAATATAAAACAAAAAAAACTATGGACATAATTGGAAAAAGTGAATGTGCTCAATTATTAAACCAACAATCACAACAATCTCAACTTTTAGTTGAGATTGTACAATCCATCATTTTTGTTGATTGTTGGTGGGACCCACACAAAACAATACATGCATTGTTTTGCAACTTGACACTTCCAAACGTTGTATTGTGGACAATGCATGTATTTAACAAATACAATGCTAACAATCGCAACTTCCAAACGACCCCTAAAAAAGAAAAAAAAGAGTTCTGGGCTTTTGTTTGCTGTACGTTTGGATGTAACATTCTCAAAATGAGGCAATTTGGGACAAACGTCTCATTTTAAAAAATGAGCTAATTGTATGAGGAAATGTTTACATAATTGTCTTGTTTGGCTTGTGATTTGGCATGAGACAATTGCGATGATGCATTTTCTGAAAATACATATTTGCCCTCATACTTTTGCCCTTCTCCATCTTGGGAAAAGGAAGAAAGGAAAAAAAAGTAAATAAAGGGGTTAGATTGGGAAATGTGACCCACAAAATGGAGTAATGTAGATTACCTCCCTCCCACCCAAATAATTGTGATTGACCCATAATGAAGCAATTTCAATTATCTCATGTCCAATTGCCTCATTCCTATTTTTTGCAGCCAAATGGGATAATTTGGCCCAATTATCTCATTTTGAGTCAATTGGAGCACATTGACTCATCACTTTGATCCATCCAAACGACCCCAAGTGTACTCAAGTAACGCAGTAGCGGTCAAAGGAATTCGGCTTTGGCGCCCCTCTACCATCTACTTAAGATAGGGGTGGTAACCGATTTTTCGGTTAACGGTATAATCGATAACCGAACCGGTAACCACCGGTTATCGGTTATACCGTTAACCGTCGGTATCGGTATACGGTAGTAAAAAATCAGAACTCGGTATACCAAAGTGGAGTCGGTAATTAACCGACGGTAACCCGGTATACCGAATTACCGTCCTTCACACTTAAAAAACCAGAAATATACAACTCTCCACAGTCCCCACCGACCCACTCTCCCTTCACCTGCCAACGAATTTCCTTCCCCCTCAACTCTCTTCTCCCCCAATCCGACTCCCAATCCATGCCAATCTTTCTTTTCCCCCCAACTCTCTTCTTCCCCAAACTAAGCCCCTCTTCTTCCAAATCCGTTGCCTGCCTCTCCAAATCCACACCCCAATATCAGTCACAGTCAACCTTCTCAATTTGTTCGGCAGTTCTCTGTCGACGGCGACCAAAAAGGACAACGAAGAAGCCCAAGACGAGGAGCAGATGCAAGAGCTCTGCCTCAAAGCCTCGCAACCACCGCAGGCGCTGGACAACCCCGATTTGCAAGATGAGGAGCTGTTGCAATCGCTATGCTCTGCTTCAAATCAGGTCCTCAGAGGTCTGCCGCCATTGACCTCCATCGCAAATCGACGGATCTAAATCGTCGTCGGCCAATACTTTCAACAGAGTAGCGCAAGACAGCTTCCACCACCATCGGCGGATCTAATTGATTGCTTCCTCCACCACCTCTCCTCCACCAGCTTGCATGTCACAAAGAAGAGGGTGCGCCGCCTCAAATCCGATCGAGATTGGGTGACTATCTCCTACCTTCCCTCTGATTCACGAATGACGGTTGGCCAGAGCCGTCGAAGGGAGAACAGAGCGTCTGCTGACTGCTGGGCCGAATGGAATTCATTCATAGTTAGGGGTTCAGGGTTTTGGGAGCAAATTTTCTGGAGCTAATCGCCGAAGCGGTGCTTCATTTAATCTTGTCCCTTCTTCCTCCGGTTATCGGATAACCAGTGTACTAACCGGTAACCGGATATCCGTTTAGTCGGTTTACCGACTGCATTCCGGTAACGGTAGACGGTGACAGTTTCATGCTAATCGGTATACCGATAACCGGTTATTCGGTTACCGGTTAACTGGTAACCGACCAATTACCACCCCTAACTTAAGATATGTGTAGGGATGGCAATGGGTCGGGGTCGGGACGGATAGTGCATCTCCGTTACCCTATCCAAAGTGGTTCGGGTTTTACCCATACCCATACCCACATATGAAACGGGTAGAAAATTAGAACCATGTCCATACCCGTTTGAATTTCGGGTATCCACGGTTATTCATGGGTAATGATTTCTCTTCATAACTCCAAGAAATATGTTAACATTCCCACGTATTCTCACATTACGTAAGAGGAAAAGTATGACAATAATTCACTAGAATGAAGAAAACTAGTTAAAACAACACAATTTCATGAAAATAGTATATTTATATGCTAAATACAAAATATGTTAGAGAAAAATAATAATTATTTCTAGACAAAATACGTATGTATGTGTATAATCGTGCGGGTTCGGGTTGGATAGTGAGAAACCCATGCCCACCCATTACCTGCAATAGTCGGGTTCGGGTTTTACCCGTACCCACTAAATATCCTTCGGATTCAGGTTTTACCCTACCCAATTAAACCAAATTCGGTGGGATATCCAAGGTTACGGATATTTTTGCCATCCCTAAATATGTGCTCTAAACGGTTAACTGATGAGTAATGATAGAGCACTTCAACCAGGTTCAAACAAAATCATCGTGATAATCTACACCAAACTTGTATTAGTTGAGAATCATGACTTGGAACAAAATTAGGAAAAAGTGTAGTCTCTAGTGGAGCATTTCATCATTACACCCAAAAATGATATTCGCATAATGCTAGAGATCATGTTCTAAAATAAAATGTGGCCTCAAAATGTTAACTAAATTTAATAAATAAAAATAAAATACAGAACAACTATGGATGAATTATTTTGCCGATAAAAATCCAATAATCCATAGGATCAATAAAAAGAGTGTTAGACTCTCGTGCTTTAATTTAAGGATTATAGATATAATATGCTCATCTACTATGCATTTTTCTCAAACATGCCCCTCTACTATATTTCACATTAAAATTGTCCCTTTACTATGATAAATTCTCAAATATATCCTTCCGTTAAATTTTTCATGCAAAAACCGTTAAACTTGGTCAAACCATAGTATGACCAATCTGAAATGACTAAATTACCTCTAAGAAAAAAAACCAACAATAAAAACAAAATTAACTTAAACCCCACACCACCATCGTTAAAGCCTCTCCATTGACATGATCTTTTCTCATTATATTATACTCTCGGATGTGAGAACAAATTTAATCAAAAAAATTATCGAAGATTATAGCAAAAAATAAATAATAAAGAGATGAGAAGATTATGTAACAATCTATAATATATCGGTCGACATAACATACTAAAAAATTATGGCCGTCCATTTCTAATGCTATTAGTAAACGTGCGTACACATAATTGCTTTGTTTTGGTCCGATACCTAATCTGTTTTGCTTCAGATGAAGATTCTTTATTTTCCCTCTCTCTAATATTCATATATGTTTTGAGGGGAACGGATAATTAGCCATATCGTATCTAGGGACTAGGGAATGAACTGAAGGATCCATATAATCTCCAGAATCTCGACGTGTGTGGAATTTCAACTTTCAACATCTCCACTAAGCGCTACAACAAATGTATGCCAAGGTACCACTCAATTAACTAGTTTTTAATTTACAACGCCGGATACCTTGGATGTATCATACATACAAATTTGGATTTGAATATAAGATCCTCCATCATATTATACAATAATATTAATGTAAATATTTTATGCAATTACTTTTTTTATTTTGAATCATTATCTATGCATCATGTTCGTGTTTTAGAATTCTGGTAACTGCTTAACCAATATTACATTATATATGTTTTCACCATTTTACACACAACTAAAAGAGTGCGGATATAAATCGATTTTACAACATCGGTCATGTGACACGATTTTGTTTTGGCCATCTCATAGTGCTTACTAGTGTAAGTATGCTACATGTTGATGTTTAGATCATATGAATTGAAGATCTTACCTAGCTAATCTATTTTCAGCTATGCTTTGGTGTGTCAATTGTAATTCACTAATTTTGTAATTTGCCTATGTCATTTCAATATTTTAGCTAGCAACAATTTAACTAATCTCATTTTTAATCCCCTCCAATGTATTTGTGACAAAAACTTCATTAAGAGCACTAATACTGGTGGAAAACATGTCATTGTATAAGATTAGAACAAAAAATAAACGTGTCAATGTAGCATGAAAACCTGCTTGCACGACAACCACCACCAAAAATCTAAAAACATTCCCTGTCAACCCTTCTTTTCTTTCCTAATCTTGAATTAGTAATTAGAATGGAAAATAATTAATTGACTTAGGGAGCCTGCCGCCAACCCACCCTTTCGTGCCCCCACGAAGGCGAAGGCCATTCTTTTGTGGGGCAGGAATTAAGGGAACCCTCTCAATAGAAGAGTATTTAAGGGCAGCGTACCTTTGTCAAATGAATCATCAAAATCCAGCCACATATCGTACACAAAACCCACCAAATTCCCTTCTGAATCAGCCATAATTAAGCAAAGAAGAAAAACCAAAAATGGCTTCTACATGGAACACAAACATACATGGCTTCTTCCTACTATTAGCAACAATAGTAGTATCTAGCCTCGTCTTCGCGCACCCGATCGACGCAGCTGGCTACACCTCCGCCGTCAGACGTGTGCCCGTCTTCCGGCCGAGCCAATGGTCCCTCGCCCACGCCACATTTTACGGCGACGAGACCGCCTCCGCAACCATGGGTACGTATAGACTCTCACATTGTGCACTCTCATTTTTCATAAGTTGTTTTTTGTGACACATTCTAATGAATTACCACTTAATTTTTTTTTTGTTTGTTTGTTAATAGGTGGAGCTTGTGGGTACGGAAATTTGTTCCAAAACGGGTACGGAACCAACACGGCGGCACTCAGCACGACACTGTTCAACAACGGCTACTCCTGCGGTGCGTGCTTCCAGATCAAATGCACGAATTCACCTCACTGCTACTCCTCCTACGGCTCCACGCCCTTCATCACGGTGACCGCCACCAACATCTGCCCTCCCAACTGGTCCGAGGACTCCAACAACGGCGGGTGGTGCAACCCTCCCAGATCCCACTTCGACATGTCCAAGCCGGCCTTCATGAGGATCGCCGACTGGAAGGCAGGGATCATCCCCGTCATGTTCCGCAGGGTGCCCTGTGCCCCGAAAGGCGGGATCAGGTTCCAGTTACAGGGCAATGGTTACTGGCTGCTGGTGTACGTGATGAACGTGGCGGGAGGAGGCGACATTGCTCAAATGTGGGTGAAAGGAAGCAGGACAGGGTGGATCAGCATGAGCCATAACTGGGGGGCTTCGTACCAGGCGTTCTCGAGCCTGGGTGGGCAGTCTCTGTCTTTCAGGGTTCAGTCCTATTCGACTAAGGAGATCATCTATGCGATGAATGTTGCTCCTTCGAATTGGAATACTGGGTCGACTTACAAGTCCAATGCCAACTTCCACTAAACCACAAAAATTTCACCTTGTTGTCTACTTACTTCCAGAGTGTCCTCTGTTTTTTTTTTTTTTTTTTTGCTTTGTCTGGGCCTTAATTGTGTCCCTTTTTTGTATGTTGCTGTTACATATTAAACACTGTACTGAAATGAGAAGTTGAACTGCCTGCAGAGCAGATTAATAGAATTGCAGGCAAGTTGACCAATGTCAATCTAATCCGATATGGGAGGGAAGGGATGCCTCATTACCCAAAAGGGAAACTAGAGCAGGACAAAAAGGTGGAGACTTGTCTTTGTTTTGGACCATTTGATTTATAGCTCTGTGTTTGGTAAGTTGACTGTGAGACATGTCAGTTATGGGGACAGTAAAGGAAGGCAGAAGGACATTGTCGGCACACCACAAGAAAATATGACCCTATGAGGCTATAATGCAAATCAACATGAGTTGAGTTATGCGACTTGCAAAAGGGGAATGGTGATTGGTGAACCAGGGGACATGTCATCAGCACACAGTTACAAGAAAGTTGACATTAGGATTTAGGAGTTGTAGTTCGGTTTTTGTTTTTTTTTTTTTTGTTTAAAGTGAAACTGAATCGGTTTATAGACTCATAGGCTTACCTTAATGGGTAAAAGTCGATAAGTTATTAGTAGTTTTGGATTTGGTCCAACCCGAAAACTGTTAATAAACCGATAAATTAAATTTAATGCATTCAAAAGTTAACTAACTAATAATTTTTTGATTCGGTTAACTGAACCGAACCAAACCACCACCCCCTAGTTGACATTGTATTAGTATAGCTTAGAATGTGCTCCCCTGCTTTTCCACATTGCTTTCCTTATGCACGCCAATCCTCTCTTTTCCCCTTTGCCTTTCTGTACTCATCAGTTCTCAACCCCACTCTCCAAGGCCGAAAATCATTTCCCCCATCCCTCTCGAATAAGACCTGACCGTCTCTTGAATGTCATAGGCGTAAATATGTGTTTATTATTTTTAGCACTTCAATCAACAATCAAATAACTATAACACACCAGAAACAAACACATCATAATCACTAATTTTACTCATCTATAAATGACTCACCGTAATCATCTGATATAGATTGAATAGTAAGGAAGCATAACTATCATATTCAACAAGATATCCAAATTTCCTCATGAGTCTTTCCTAATTTGACTTTTTAGTATTGAGTGACTAAGCTTTCCAAATATATCCCACATAAATTTGGAGGGTCAGTAACCAATGATTACTGACCTATGAGTAACTAAATCTAGACTTTTAAATTTAAGTGGGTCCAGAAAATTCAAATCTAAGGGTTGTCAATTAAAAACATTTTATTTTCCCTAGTTTTCTTAATCGGCTCTTATATTTTTCGTTCTAACTCGGATTTCAATTTTTTTTTTTTTGCACAGATGGAACGAGTTCGTTGTTATCTACAAAATGAGCTCAATTTTCAATATATTTCGAGAAACGTTTTTTATCAACGACATACCATATGGTAACTTTTTTGTTTTTAAGTCGTTTTTGAAAACGTTTGCTCAGAAGGAACGAGTTCATCATGATCTATTGGATCTATAAATTTCTGGGTGAAAAAAATACTTGATCAAAAATTACCATACTTTACCACTATGGTATGTGGGTGGTAACTTGTAGTAAACAATAATGAAACTCGTAAATGACAGTTAGTATACTCCTACTATCATGTATTCAACCTTCTTACCATATTGGTATATTCATACCATCATGATACGCTTTCTTACCATATGGTATGCTCCTATTTAATACCATATGGATAAAAGACTGGTAAAAAATTATTCAATTTCTTTTTGTACTAAAAATATATCAAAGTGGATATCATTTTAAGGAACACATTTAATCTGATTTATCTAGTGCAAAAAAAAAAATTAAATTTATAACTAAAAACGAGAGAGAAATCGTCCGTTAAAGATTAAAGGGGAATAGATAAAAGACTTTTCATGAGAAAAATGATACTGATGTCATGCTGATGTAGACAAATTACTCATGATTAGTGAGCTTAGAGTTCCTAATCCGTTTACCATAAATTTAGCTTTAATTTCCTAATATTTGAGTGCGGCTAGTGGACAATTACCCCACCGGAGAAACGGAAAACAGGAAAGTCTTTTAGTATCTTACCATCTTTACAAAAAGGGCTCAGACATTCTTTACTTTGACTCAAACACAGCGCATAAAGGGTAACACAGCCAAGAACTTCCTTCCTTCTCTTCTCTCTTCTCTCTTCTCTCTTCTCTCTTCCTGCTCCTTGAATCCACCAAAGTTTTTTTCTCACATCTCCATCAGCGCAGAGCAACAAACCCTTTTCCCCGTTTGTCCCCCAGTCGACATAGAACCAATTCCATTACACCCCAACCAAAAAAATCAACAGAAACCCACCAGTCCATCATGTCCAGTCTCCACTCTTTCACCTTCATCATCATAATTCTCCTCCCCTCACTGTCCCCGCCATTAACAAATGCTCAAGAGACCATCAAATCGCCGCAGCAGCTGGATCTCCTAATCAGAGACTACACATTCAGGTCCAGCTTCATCAACATGACCAGAACAGGGGAGATCCACAACGTCAACCTCCCTGCAAATCTCTCCGGCGCCGTCAGAGCTCAAGCGGCCAGGTTCCGGTGCGGCAGCCTCACACGGTACGGCGCCCGGATAGACGGATTCACCCTTGGAATCGGCGTAATGCTCTACCCATGCGTGGAGAGAGTGATGTTGATCACACACAGATTGAGCCTCAATTGGTCATCCATCTACTCTGCAAACTACAACCTCTCTGGCTACCAGCTCGTGTCGCCGATTCTCGGCCTAGCAGCTTACAATGCCGGTGAGAAGAGGAGCAATAGCCCCAATTCCAGCTACCCTTTTGAAGCTGGAATCCGTTCCGCCCAAGGAAACTCCATCGCCATCAATTTCACGAACTCCATTGATGATCGTATTGTCAATCCCCTGTGTGCGATGTTTGAAGGAGATGCGAAGACAGTGAGCTTGAAACCCCCAATTTCAGATCGAGTATGCGGTTCGACATCGAACGGGCATTTTGGGCTGGTTGTGAAGCTTCCTCCGCCGGCGGGGAGTCCGCCGCCTGCAGCGGTGATGGCGGCGGGTGGAGGAGGGAGAGCGGCGGTGTGGAAAGTGGCGGTGGCGAGCAGCGTGGGGAGCGCATTGGGGATTGTGCTATTGGGTTTGCTTGTGGTGGCGATGTTTGCCAAGGTAAAGAAGAAAGCGAGGATGGTGGAGATGGAGAGAAGGGCTTACGAAGAGGAAGCCCTGCAGGTTTCCATGGTCGGGCATGTTAGAGCTCCGGTGGCTGCCGGTACTCGGACAGTTCCCACCATTGAGCATCACTTCGTACATTACAATCCTAAATGAAACTTGTTTTTCTCGTTTTGATTTCTTGGTTTAGGGTTTAGATATATCATTGCGAAATTTGTGATCATTCTTTCTGTAATATTAGGCATGAACAGAGTAGTGAATTGCTGCCCATTCATCTCCTTGGAACTCTTCATCGTGAGCCATTTCACGAAACCATGAACGTTTCTTCTCTCTTTTGTTTCATAATCCATGGATTTGAAAAAAGAACAGCCAGCCAGCCAGCCAGCCAGCCATCTATGGTCGGAAAGATATGATGATGAGTCCTTTAATTGTGACAGCGTGGGTTTTGAAGCAAAAGAGACATTCTTTGTCAAAATCAAGCGGGTAAAACTCGGTGGTGGAATGCTCTGTTTGTTGGAGGGAATGATGGAGAAAGGGCCCCCGAAAGAGAGAGATGGAAGGAGGGGATATGTATCTTGTGGAGTGAAATGCAACAGCCAACGAATGGTATGAGTGAAGGAGGGAGGCAGCGTTCCTTAGAAGCATGTTGAAAGGTTTTTATACTTCGTTTGATTAGATAACAGGAAGAAGGTGGGAAGGTTACACCATCGGAGGTATAGGTGTCAATCGGGTGGGCGGGCTCGGACTGGGTTCAATCGGGTTGCGGGTTAGTTGGGTTGCGGGTTTATCGGGTTGCGGGTTCGGGTTCAAATGGATTGCGGGTTTATCGAGTTCGGATTCAATCGGGTTGCAGGCAAATCGGGTTGCGAGTTCATCGGGTTACGGGTTGTTCGGGCCAGCGCATCGAGTAACTTACCCCTTACTCGTTACCAACTTACACATTTTATTACACTAATTTAAAATATTGTACTCAATTTTTAACCATTTTTTTCTACCTCATATATATACTTGATTTAAAAAAAACTAGTCAAAATATTGAATCAATTTGTACGACTTGGAAACTTGTTATGTACGTAATTAATCGTAATTGGCAAAGTATACTAGCTAATAGTATGGCGATATCAACATTTGCAACCTAAAGACACCATTAATTGTTTATTTGGTATTTTAGTATTATTTCAGTAGTAATCGGATTAAAGTATCTCGTTTAGTATAACCATGCAAATCTGGTATTTGGCGTGTAGTATTTGGCAAAAGCAAAGTGGTAAACGAGTTATTTCGAAATAACTCAATTCCCTAATAACTTCAGTAAATGATTTTCAAACGAGTTATTTGTAAAATTGTTCGAGTTACCCTAAAAATTGAACCATTAAAGATTAACTATCAAATTTAGTAAAATTGTTGTGACTTCAATAGTAACTTACTCAATAACATATATCCTATACACTTAACCTTACCCTCAATCGACAATATTAAGTTAGTATATATTGTTGATCGTATACCCTAAACCATCAATACATTATACACTAACCACATACCATATACCCTAATAATATGTCCTTATGAGTTGTAATTTTGCTATTATAGTTAATTTAAAGTAAAATTCATCCTTTGATTTTCAAAACATAGATGAAAAGTGATATTTGTTATACATTAACCATATATCCTATACTCTACATCATATACTCTATAGCCTAACTAGAAAACAAGTAGACAAATTTAGTAAAATTTTCTAAAGCAAATGATTGTTGTAACTAATGGTTAATATAGTTATTAGACCATAAATAATTTTTTATATATATATTAACCTTCAAAACATATAAGAATAAATTTAATTAGTCATGCCCTCCATATAAAAATTAAAGATTCAAATTCTAAAGGCTAAAATTTTGAATCACCAAAAAGTTGAAAACACCAAAATTTATTACTTCTTTATTTTCACAAAAAAAATAATTAAAATACTAAAATTCTCATTCTTCTTTCTCCTTCCATAAATTAGAAACACTCAATTTTTCCTCCTTTTTGTCTTCCATAAAATTGAAAGAACCAAATTTCCCTCCTCTTTTTCTTCCATAAAATTGAAGAATCAAATTCCCTCTTCCTTCCTTCCTTCCACAAAAAGTTGAAAACTCAAAATTTCTCTCCTTGTTTCTCTTTCATAATCAAAAGAACCAAACTTTTTCACTTTTTTTCTCTTCCCACAAATCAAAACCACCAAAATTCTCTTTTGTTTCTTTTCTCATAAATTCAAAGAACCAAATTTCCCTCTTCTTTTTCTTCCCAAAAAGTTGAATACACTAAAATTTCCCTCTTCTTTTAAAAGCATCAAATTACCAAATACATTAATTTATTTTATTTATATTTAATTGATAATTTTATTGAATAGTTAAACTAACCAAAATTTTAATTTATATATTATATTAGTATTGTACATGATCTCATTTATTGATTCTTTATTATTAATATTGACATTGTGTTGATTTTATATTTACTTTTTAATTTTTTTAAAAAACCCGGGTAAATCGGGTTCGGGTTTAATCGGGTTGCAGGTCAATCGAGTTCGGGTTAATTGGGTTGCGGGTCAGTCGGGTTGTGGGTTAGTCGGGTTGCGGGTCAATCGGGTTGTGGGTCAGTCGGGTTACGGGTTGTTGACTTTTAGTCAATTCGGGTTGCAGGTAGGGTTGATCAGGCGGGTTAGTCGGGTCGGGTTCTGTTTTGACACCCATAATCAGAGGCATCATTCAAATTTCAAAGGCATCCTCACATCCAACATTGATGATATGACTGGAGGGCGGTCAGTTTCGATTTAACTAAAAACCGAGTAGTCGATTATCGGTTAGCCAAACCACCCCCTTCTGCCATCTGACAACCGACCTAGAAAGGCTGCACGGTAGCCGACCACCGTCTGGTCGGTTATCAGTTTTTAGTTTGGTTAGCCTTGCAACAAAACTTTACGGGCAGGTTTGCTTTTAATCGGGTAACCAACCTGAAACATCCCCACCTGCATAAAAAATCAGTAAAATTGCCTAAAATTAAAGGCTCAAACCTACATTTCTACATCTAAACCACCCAAAGTAAAGTCTCGATCCCTTTTGCATTGAAAGTACATCTAAATCACCAAATTAATGTCTCAAATTCAACAACATAAAATCATAAACTCCAAAATTCACAAATCACAATAGATCCAAATAGCAATAACAAATCATCATTATTCATTACTTATCAACACCGGGAGAAGAATCAACATATGCAAACCCCTGTTCTTTCAATCGGCCCAACAAGTCATGATCATATTGGTCATATCCATCTTGCTCATACTCTTCCTCCGACACTTCTTCACCCTCCTGCTCATTCTCCATTGCATGTTAAGACTTGCATCTGCATTGGCAATATTGCACTTTCCATTTTAGACTGGAAAGTGGCATTAACTGAGTAAGAAAAAAGAAAACGAAGTGTTAAGATATTCATACATTGAATTAGGTGGTAGAAATAGTGAAAACCTGAACAACAAGTAATTAAGAGAGTTTTAGAACTCACCACTCACCACTTTCCAAATCCAAATTCTCTTCATCATCTTCCTCTCGTCAATCTCTCCTGATCTGCTAGTTGGATACTTTATCCAATCCTCAGCACAAATCAATATTTCCACCATTGTATCGCTTAAAGAGGACCTAAATGGATTGAGAATCCGGCCACCACAGCTAAATGTTGCCTCTGAGGAACAAAAGAGATGAGAACAACTAGGATATCCTTAGCCATCTCAGAAAGGATTAGATATATATCAGAGTGCCGAGACCACCAACCCAAGATGTCAAACTTGGCATCATCACTCTTCTCATTGATGCCATCAGTTTGAAATTTTAGATAAATGTCAAGCTCAACAAAGCTACCTCCTATCTCCTGTAGAAGTGCTTCACTTTTCCTTTTCCTGAGCCTCTCCTCAAGCTTCTTAATTCTATCACCAACACCTTCAGCTTCTTAATTCTATCACCAACACCTTCAACAGAACTACCACCAATAATGCTCACATCAGTGGTAGGCTCATATGCAGAGGAGGGTGTTTTTTATCCATACTTCCCTTTATAAACCTCAAACATTTAGCGCATCTTCTAAGTAATGGAACTCTCAATTTCTCCTCCCTTCACTCTCCCATAAATCATTTTCGAAATCTCGGACACCAGATCAAGTTTACTTCTAGGATCAAGCACACATGCTATATAAATTAAGTGATTCACCTTCATGTTCTCCTCACCAATAGGAGGTGTCTCAAACCAATACTTATGTACCTTTTCTTCAACCTTATCTGCCATCCTTTGGATCTCTTCATTCAGATCATTCTTCAATTCCTCAATGATGTCATAGATTGGAACAATCTTCTTGAAGAACATATGGGTAGTCACATATTTAGTTCCTATCCAATGAGAAGAGAACACATAAAATTAGAGTAAAACAAACAAGATGATCAAATGATTAAAATAAAACAATGCAATTCAAATTCAATATACCCGAGACTAGGAGGGTCAAGTCATTGAGGACTTTCAGATACTTCATCAACTTCCTAATCAGCTGCCAATCTTGTTCAGTTGGAAGACCACCTCTTGAGTCAACATAGTCTCTAAAGAAATGATCTTGTGGACTTGAATACAAAGTTTCAAAAAATCCATCAAACCTTTCTGTTGACTCTAACATGATATAGGTGGAGTCCCACCTAGTCGGTTAATCCAAAGACACCAATTTGGTTGAATCCACCTTTAGAAATTGCATGGTAGTCTTGAACCTTGTCAACCCAGCTGGTGATGACATCACACACTTCACACAATCTCGAACTCTATCCACAATACCTCCAATTACTTTCAGTCCATCTTGCAGTACCAGATTAATGATGCCACACATAGAAACTACAGATACTTTCCAACCATTATTTCACACCCCAATCCTTTAGCTTCGTTCTCATGTAATCACCAGGAATATCATTTGAAGTTGAATTGTCCATGGTCATGCAGAACAACATCTTCACCTTTCATTCTTCAAGAACTTCTGCAAGCTTCTCTGCAATGTCCTTTCCAGTATGACTTGTGATTGGAACAAAGGATAGAACCTTCTCTGCAATTTCCAATCACTTCCAATAAAGTAAGTTGTCACACACATGTAATTTTTGTTGTTATCAGAAGTCCATGTATCCGTGGTGATTGAAACTCTGCCTTTGCTCTTTGATTCAAAAAACTCAATCAAATGCTCTTTTTTCTCCAAGAAGATATGATAACAATCATCTCTTATAGCTTTCCTCCCATGTATCTTAAACAAGGGTTGAACAACTAGCATGAATAGCTTAAACCCTTCCCTCTCCACAAAGAGAAATGAAAACTCAATCATAATG